CAGCCATTTTGTTTTCATTCATCCCTGTGCACAGACCAGAGCATGTGACTCGCGCGGTGCACCACAATCTGTTCGAATGTCAGGATTAATTGCGACTGGGCTACAGCATAGGTGTTGTTGTTCAGGACCTTTGTGAATACTCACCCTCAGTCGTCTGGGGGGGGGGGGGAAGGAGGGAGGGTGGGGAGTTAGGGGTTGCGAACTCAGTTTCATAATTCTGCGACACGGGGTTCATAATCAGCGGCAGGCGATCTGGTTGCAAAGAGAGCTTTTTGTGGATTTCGGCAGCTGTGTTATCTTATCTGCAGTTGATCGCTGTTCTCGAGGCAGGTGTTTCCTGTTTTTCCTCTTCGGGATGCTGCCTGGAGGTTGTGGTGGGGCCCTTAGCCCCCCTTCAGAAGTTCTCTGGGACTTCAGTGGGCTTGAGTCTACGATGATAATAGCGGGTTCATTTCTTTTAAATGACCACATTACGCGAGATTTAGGGAAATTCCATAGCATGGGGAAGGAGGGAGGGGGGGGGGTGTGTGCTAGGTGCCAGGGTTAGTAGAAGTCGCTAATCATTTTACACCAACCCCCAAGCCCCCTGCTGTAGGATTTCCCTGAATCTCGCAGGATGTGGTCGCCCTAAAAAAAAAAAAAAGAACTTAGTGTGATAAGTTAATGCTAATAATAAAAATCTATCAAAAAGGGGAGAGGTTGGGCCTCACAGGACCTAGGTGCCAAGTTACCGGCAGCTCTGGTAGAGTCGAGGCCACCCGTAACGGCTCCCCACCGGCCTGCAGTACTGATGCGGCTCATATTCGTCTTGCCTGTGTATAATAGTCAGCCGCGTCTTCCCCGCTCAGCGGCCGGGGGAAATCTGGCTAGATGTAACCCGATTATGCTGGGGGTTTTGATGCCCCGGCATGCTGGTCTGTTTTTGTTTCTCACTCTCCGGCAAGTGTTCCCTGTAGTCCAGTGGCTCTCAACCTTCCTAATGTCGCAACACTTTAAGGCAGTTCCTCATGTTGTGGTGACACCCAACCATAAAATTATTTTCTTTGCTACTTCATAACCTCAGTGAATATCTGTTTTTCGATGGTCATATGCGCCCCCTGGGAAAGGGTAATTTGACCCACAAAAGGGTCGTGACCCATAGGTTGAGAACTGTTCACCTATAGTGCGTGAAGGGCTAACGCTGTACACACCAGCGTCAGTATCTGTCTTGCTTACTGACAGTATTCTACTGAAGCTGTACTGGCTTCATCTGGTGCACAATGTTCTACTGAAGCTGTACTGGCTTCATCTGGTGCACAATCAATGTTCTATTGAATCAGTACTAGCTTCATCTGGTGCACAGTCAATGTTCTATTGAATCTGTACTGGCTTCAGCCTTCATTAGGTACACTTCTCCCGATAGGCTCTTTTCCCTGTGTTCAAGGCAACACCAGAAATAGCAAGATTAGTAATGTCATAGTTAGGAGGATTAAAACCATCAGCATAACCAGTCGTCCCTTTGTGGAATGCAATTTGTCGTTATTGAAGCCCCACCCTGGCTTTTGCCGAGGGCCCTGAATATAGCTGAGCCACATTTAATGTGGCCATAACGGCTGAAGGGGGTTTCTAGGACCCCTCCAGGGGTGATCCTCATCCGCATGGTGGCACTTTGTGTCACCGGGTGTTTATCGCTCTGTGTGATGTCCTGGTGGGGTCAAATTTACTTACTTACCTAAAGCTATCACATTGAGTTGTAGCACACCTAAAGCCATCACATTGAGTTGTAGCACATAAGGTTTGGACCCCTCCCCCTTTACCCTTCCAGAAGAATAGCTGACCACTTGCAGAAAAAATGTCACACAAAGCACAATCTCTGTAATACCAGGATGGACCCTATTTAGTTTTCTTAAATAACAGTGTCAATAAAAACTGCACTACTTTCTGTATTTACATTTTGCAGTGTAGGCAGAGGGAGTGTTGAGCCTGCGGATGTAGAGCTGCAATGGTAGTGCTGTCTATGGAGGTTAGGATTTTATTGTTTAACCCCAAAAGAAAATATCCACTACCTTACTAAAGATTCGAACCTGGGTCTCCTGCTTTTAACTTTAGAGCCCTGTGTTTTTTCTCAGTTGGCCACTCCTAAAATAATAGTACACTTGAAAAAAATATCCTTTGAAATAATTCCTTTTATAATTTAGAAGGGTTAAATAGGAAGAAAAGACAATAGTTTCTGTGTAGCCTTTCAATGGATATTGTTCACAATTTGTCATCTGGATTAGCTGTCATTTTGACCTGGTGTGGCAGTGTAAACACTGTCATTGTTTCTCACTGTGGGAGCACAGCTGGGCATTCTAAATCTCCTCCAATTCTGAACATTCAAGTGAATGTCCCCGGTGTCATGTTGTTAGTTCTTTACTAACCACAAGCATTGACACATCTGAAGTCATCCTTTTGTAGTGTTTCTTTCTCCATATGGATTTATACACACAGATTGTTTAGGGGTTGTGTACGGTGTTTGAGAATATATTGCAACAAGAGTTCTGAAATACTTTTTTATTTTGTAGATTTGTGAACTGTATTATTGTTTTGTAGAATTTTAAAGTACCTTACTGTTTTATAGGTTTCTGTTTTTGTTTCCTTATATTTCTGAAGTATGTTATTGTTTTGTAGATTTCTAAAGTGCATTATTGTATTGTAGATTTCTGAAGTACGTTATTATTTTGTAGATTTCTAGAGTATGTTGTTGTTTTGTAGGGTACTGAAGTACGTTCTTGCTGTGTAAATTTCTGAAGTGCATTAATGTTTTGTAGATTTCTGAAGTACATTATGTGTAGTAGATTTCTGAAGTACTTTTTGTTTTGTGAAGATCTGCAATTCTTCAAGTTTTATAAATTTCTGGAGTACTTCATTTGTTGATCACATACACTCATAGTAAGCAGCCCTGCCTATTTCTAACTCATTGTAGTTATGTGTTATCTAGTTTTAGGTTTTAGGTCTTTTTAAATGCATGTAGTTTTTCATATAATTAGCTTAATCTGTTACAATTCTTCTTCTGCCTTTCTAACCCCCCACCGGAGCTTAGGCCCTCAACCAATTCATGTCAAATTTTCTATCTTTTTGCTGACGCACGCAGCTCTCCCTATGTCCTCCTCATCTTTTTAAGTTAACTCTCTAGCTCCCTTCTCCGTGTTTTTTTTGGGTCTTCTGTTATTTCTGTGCCCCTGTGGGTTCCATTGCAAAGACATTCTAGTTATATTGTTCTCAGGTGATCTCATTGTGTGTCATATCCGATGCCAACCTGTTTTCTCCACCTCTTGGCCCACTTGAACTTGTTTAACTCTCTCCTTAGGCTCTACATTAGGGATTATATCATATATCATACCATTTAATTCCCTCTTTTCTGCGCAGGCACCAGTTAATGAATGTGTGTAGTTTATTAGCAGTTGCTTAGTTGTTCTCGATGTTTCCACTCCAAATAACAGTACTGATTTTACAATTAAACAGGATCAGTGTATAATATTGATGTCAGTGCTGTGGCAAAAAAAAGTGCTTGTTCAACCAATCAGGTGATGTCTGACTTAGTGAATTCTCTGTGTGCTCTCTCTTTCTTATGCTGGTGGTATACTGGCTTACACAACTGGTCATCCACCTCTGCATGCTATCCTCTCCATTTTGTTTTTGTCTTGCCTCTTGCTTCCCGGCTTTGAACCTTTTCCCTGCAGTTTGTGTTTTTTGTAAGAGTATTTAGTCATTTTAATCATGCTCAGATATTCTATTTTCTTTTTCTTTTTGGGTATATTTTTTTCTTCTTCTATCTTTACATTCACTAGGTGTAAACTCTGGCAGAAAATTCTCTTTGTTTGTCAGCCCCTGGACTTTAGCCTTTTTCCAGAACCTGAATGTTGGGTGTACATCCATTTTATGAATCTAGTTTATTTTATGCAGACTTGGTTCCTTGCCTCTCAGGCAGATGCACTCCTGTCTACAGTGGAAACCCCCGATTAATTGACTCTTATGACATCCTTGTTTGGGAGGCAGTGGGTCTATTCTTGTTTTCCCTCACAGTGGGACCTTTGAATCCACACGGGGAATTTTGTTCTTTTCAACAACCCTCTTGGTATTATGTTTCTCTGTAACCTCTATGTTTGATTCTGTTTTTATGAAATAATCCTCTCTTTCTGTAGATCCACATCTGAAGGGACTTGATTTGAAATTCTCATTGTCTGTGTTTCCACATAGTAGGGTTGAGTTGAGCATACAGCACACTTAACAATTTCACCTTTTTTGTGTTGTTTACTTTTCTTGATTTCAATCATCGTCATCATAAACCACTTCTGCTGTTAAAGTCTTATGGGGAGGAATAATTTACGATCCAGTGTACACTAGTTGACACTGGTGATTGTCATTCTCTAAAGGTGTAAAGTGCCTTTGATATTGTTGATCCATAATTTTTTCCTAGCCTTCCTATTGCTTTTGCAGCTGATCTTCCAGTTGAAATCCCTGTAATGCTATTTGAAGTTGCTGTATTCTAGCGAGTTGGCCAAGCCACTTGATTTACTTCTTTTCAGTGTATCTAGTACAAGGTGTTGTTCCCATAATCTGTCTGACAGTATCATATTCAGTTGATCTCGAATAGTTAGTTTGACATTGTCCATGTCTGGCACTGTTAGGTCAGTGTTGATATGAACATGCTGTTTATAATTTTTTTTTCTCACTCATAGTTATGTTTGGATGTTGATTTCAATATTTGTATTATATTATTCAAAAGAAGTTAGCCATCATCTATTATTGGAACTTATTCATTAGAATATGCTTTACCTACTTGTTTGTTATACTGTAAATTAAGTGGTTGGACTTGCTTTGAATCCTTTGATTTCATGTCAATTTGATAAATACATTTGTATGATTGCACTGATATAGGACATTTACAATTAGATACAGCTGTTTCATATATAGACAGTGTTGCTACATATAGGCAGGATATTTAAGAGACCGGTTTTTGTAAAAAAAACTTTACAGTTATGACGGATCAAGCTCCCGTACCCCAACTTCCTCCATCTCGAGGACCAGCTCCCCCGCTCCCAGACAAGCCCCCATCTGTCGCGGAGCGGACTCGCTTGCTGCGATCCAGCTTCCGTAAAGATGATATTGAGAAGCCTAAAGTGCCAGAGAAGCCAGATAATAGAAACATTATAAACACAGCGTCCAAATCTGACCATAAGGGATCCAACAACTCAGTTAACGGTGAAAGGTCTCCTTCGCCATCTCAAAGCAGTAGTAGTCCTACAGTGACCAGTCCAGGTTGTGTCACATCTCCAACGGGCAACTTGCCACCCCAGAAGCCACCATTGCCTGAGAAAAATGTGCCGCATACACCTGTTGCAGATGTTAACAAAGAAGTAAATGGAAGAAGTTCTCCAGGAGTGTCAGCACCTGTATGTATCATTCTGTGTGTTAAGCATGTCGAAAGCTTGTTGTTAACTGTGTTATAGATTTGTTTGTGGTAAAATATATATTGTCTGTCTGTTTATAGTACAACATGTATTGTCTGTTTATAGTACAACATGTATTATCTGTATGCATATAGTAGAAAAAAATGCCTGTCTGTTTATAGTAGAAAATATAGTCTTTGACCTGAGAGCTGTGTATTTCATGTGGAGTGCCATTTATCGAATGGCCATGATATTCAAAACATGGCTGGTTTGCGTTCGTGCTGGCCAAGTGCCTTTTGCAGTTATTGGCTGCATACAGCAAACTCATCATAACTGACTCATTTCACCCACACATTGCAATTCTGGTGGTGACTGTTAGAGTCAGCATCTCTAACGGCCCTCTATGTGCATTTATTTTGTGCATATGTTTCTGGTTTCTGCCAGGACTTCTTGCTTGTTGACTAGTTTTTAAATAGGACATGTGCCTTTTTCTTTGATTTTCAGTAGCCTAGAAATGGGGCAATTATGGGGTGATCCTTTGCAGTGAAGATGAAAGCTAGACTACCACTACTGATACCATTTCATTGTTTTAGGGTGAAATATAACTGCCAAATGCCATTACTTGACGCCACTCTCTCGATGCACTGATCAAGGAGAACTGGCTAGTAAACAGCATCCTCTCATTTTGAAAACTGAGGTATTTTGGACGCCATGTTGGTCCGAGGGGAAAGGTCATCACGGATGCAGTTTCTGGAAATAGAAGCAGAGGCGGCCTGGCTAAACTGGCCAGCCTGGCTAACCTGGCCGGCCTGGCTAACCTGGCTTAGTCGCCTCTGACTGTCTCCACAATGAAGGTTGGCTATAGTCTACCACTGCTGTCCTTGGGAATCAGGCGTATTGAGGACACAAGTCTCTTCCTTGGTGCGAATCTCATACTACCGTTCGAAAACTGCAAGATCAGTTTCTGTTACCATCCACCATGGAAAATCCAACCCTGATGCTTAAGGATCGTGAAATTGTTGAACGCATGGACTAACCTCTAAGCCAATGAAGTGCACACATCATAGATTACATTGTTTCTTATTCTTCTTCTTTTTCTTCTTTTTTTTCTTCTTCTTCTTCTTCTTCTTCTTCTTCTTCTTCTTCTTCTTCTTCTTCTTCTTCTTCTTCTTCTTCTTCTTCTTCTTCTGCTGCAGCTTCCCCTTCTTCTGCTGCTGCTTATTCTTTCTCCTCCACCACCACCTTCTTTTTCACCATATTTTTCTTCTTCCTCTTCTTCTTCTTGTTATCGACTGTAAACTCCGCCGGGAAGTTCTGGTTGTTCGTCCACTTCTGGAGGTGTGTGTCTTATTCCAGATTTCTAATGGTCCGCGCACATCCATTTCACCATTCTGGCATATTTATATACACAGTGTTGGTTCCTTCACGTGTCAGCAAATACACTCCAAATTCAAATAAAACATCCCTAATTAACCACCTTTTGCGACATGTTTGTTGGGTGGAGGAGAGATGGAGGGCGTTGGTTCTGGTGGGTCTAACCCCCTTCGCAAATGGAGGCCCGGTATCGCGCGGTAGTTAGATAATATTGCCGTTCTGATTCTGTTGAGGGCATGCATCTTCCCTGTAGCAACAAACGGATGTGAGTCGTGGACTATCTCCCAGTCCCTTAAGGGAGAAAAATATGAGCGTTTGAGCTGAAATGCTATAGACAGATTATTTGAATGCCATGGATAAAGAAGAGACGAAATACTGGCATTTTAAAGGATCGCAACATCAAGGAGGATTGGCTAATAAACTGCATCTTTTACCGGAAGAGGCAATATTTAGGTCATATCAAGGGCAATTACGGATTGGAAAAAAATAAGAGGTGATGGAGAGGAGCCGACAAACACGAAGATAGGCACAGGATATAAGTGACTCCTTGGGTATGAAATTTCAAGAGGTGTGAGAGCTGGCGAGAGACTGAGTTTCTTTCAGGCAGACTGATGTGAGCGACGTTCTGCAAAGGACCTGCTGCATGATGATGATGATATCGGTTTTTCCTGCAGTAAGACGGTATCGTCAGTTGGACGTAACATATTCGATTCCCCATGTAGTAACAAAGCAGTCGATGTTTATGTTGTCTAAAGCGTTCCTTATACCTCTTTACTTCTGTATGTGAGTGCCCATCAATGTGTATGTGCGTGTCTGTGGTTGTTATATACTGTTTCTTTGACCTCAGTGGTAGATAGGAGAAGAAAAATCGTCACTTTTAACCAGCGTCCCCGAAGCTTTAGGGAGCTTTAGGTTATATTATAATTCGTGACTAAGCAGTGTAAAAAATGAGGCTTAGCATTGCACGCCACTGAAACACTGAAAAGGAGTCCTGCAGTGTTGATGCGATTAAAGGAGACTCACCCACATACTGTTCCGACCGGCGACGAAGTCGTCTAACGGTGAGCCACTGGGCGAGCCGGTTGCCAATGATGGTCTTAAGGCTTACAAGCTTGTTTATTTGTATGCATACGTGCATGGTCCATCCCTCAAAACTGACTGTTTATACGCCTCCTCTTGTACGCCTCGTTTTCTCTGGTTGAATTAGGAATGTGAGGAATTTGCGAACCCGTCCGTGGCCATAAATCTGTACCCCTGTAACTCCCGGCAACCCGTCAATTGGTCTCTCGCACTCGCCTCCCTTCCATCGCCTCGCGTGTTGAGTAGAATAGGTATATGGCTATCTGATGACCTACATTTGCTTACAAGAAAGCAACTGTCTTCATACATGCGCGTGCTGTTGTTGTTGCTGTCTGCGTTTTTTTCCCGGTTCATTCTAGGTCAGTAGATTTACTGTGTGTTCCAGGTTTGGATTCTCGGTCCTGGAAAAAAAGGGGGGGGGGGGGGGGGGGGGTTTACACAATATTGCTTGAACACGGCTGTCTACAAGCTGTCGCTAAAGGCGGCTAATGAATGAAGGTCAACCCCACCAGGGCCGCACAACAAGCGATAAACATCCAGTGATAAAAAGTGCCACTATTCGGATGAGAATCATTGGGGTACAGGTCCCAGAAACCCTGTTGAACTGTTAGGTTATATTAGGGCCCCATGCTACACCCAGGGCGGGGCTGAAGGGTTAATTAGGGTTTTAGTGAAATCGGATGTTTTCGGGCGAAAGGCCTAGTTGTCAGCAACAACATAGCATACTACGACCTAACTTTTAACCAATAGATCATTACAGCCTGAGGAGAATGGCGCTGCCAGGGGATCTGGCCGACGCTCAGCTCTCAAGGGAAAGGCGAGACGGATATAAAATCAGACACTTACTGGTGCCGTCGGAAATTGAACTCTTTGCCGCTGCAGATTGGGATTTAGCGCTTCTGGGAGTGTTTCGAGTGCTAAGATGTCGATTCTTCATTCAACATAGCTTTCAACCGCCTTTATAAGAACGAACAGGGAAGAAAAAACTCTTGTGGGATGTTTCTATGATCTAGGACTAGAGCTGCTTGTTTTACTCTTTCTGTGTATACTTCAATTCGGCAACCTCCAGGGCCAGATCTTTGCAAATGTGCTGTTTCTGTCGTTGTTAATGACTCGTCACGTGATCTTGTCAAGCTTTGTGTATTGTACACATTACTACATCCGTTCATACGTGACCAACAGAATAAAATGCTTTGTGCATTGTACACACTAGTGCATCCCCTCAGACTTGACCAGGAAAACTGATCACTTTGGGCTCTGTACACACTTCTACATTCTCTCAGACTCGACCAACAAAACCAAATACTTTGTGCGCCGTATACACTTCTACATTCGCTCAGACTTGACCAACAAAATTCAACACTTTATGCGCTGTACACACTTTACATTCTCTCAGACTCGACCAACAAAACCAAATGCTATGTGCGCTGTACACACTTCTACATTCGCTCAGACTTGACCAACAGAACCAAATACTTTGTGCGCTGTACACACTTCAACATTCTCTCAGACATAACCAACAAAACCAAATACTATGTACGCTGTACACACTTCTACATTCTCTCAGACCCGACCAACAAAACCGAATACTATGTGCGCTGTACACACTTCTACTTTCTCTCAGACTTGACTAACAAAACCAAATACTTTGTGCGCTGTACACACTTAACATTCTCTCAGACTCGACCAACAAAACCAAATACTATGTGCGCTGTACACACTTCAACATTCTCTCAGACTTGACCAACAGAACCAAATACTTTGTGCGCTGTACACACTTTTACATTCTCTCAGACTTGACCGACGAAACTAAACATTTTGTGCGCTGTACACACTACTTGGTTGTTTCCGTCCTTTTATTTAGACGTTCATTTCACATCTTTCCCATGCAGCCTGCGTATTTTTAAGAAACTGTAATTATAAATGGTTAGTGTTTATTCGCAAGTTACCAAGTCACACGGACGTGCACATTCTCACATGCGGGAGAAGGGTGTGAAAAGGCACCGCGCGGATGTGCTCAACACAAGTTATCCGGCACGGGGATCAGAGTTTGGTACTGCAGCAGGGGTTAGCAAGTGGTGCAGACTTCAGACCGACTAGGGCACGGCTCTGGAAGAAGTTAATTGATATATAAGACATGTTAAAACTGCTGCAGCAATAACATTCGTAGAGAAATAAAGACTCTCTTTCTCTCTCTCGCTATCTGTCCGTGTATCTATCTATCTATCTATCTATCTATCTATCTATCTATCTATCTATCTATCTATCTATCTATCTATCTATCTATCTATCTATCTATCTATCTATCTATCTATCTATCTATCTATCTATCTATCTATCTATCTATCTATCTATCTATCTATCTATCTGTCTGTCTGTCTGTCTGTCTGTCTGTCTGTCTGTCGGTCTGCTCATCCATCCATCCATCTTAATATCTATCTATGTATGTATGTCAAGTACAACCGCCCATCTTATACTCTTCGACCGTTAAGACAGTTCCTTGGGCTTGTGATTAAAGAGAAAGATCGTCGCAGAACAAAAGCTCCAAA